TTGTGCTTGTTCAAAATATTTATTTTAAATGATCTGAATCAACATTCATTCATTTTCCTTGGGTTTAGTCCCTTTATTAACCAGGGGTCGCCACAGTGGAATGAACCGCCAACTTATCCAGCATATGTTTTACACAGTGGATGCCCTTCCAGCTGCAACCCAGTACTAGAAAACATCCATACTTTCTCATATGCAATCAAATACAAAAAAAAAAAAAACAAGTTTAAAACTAGATTAAAGATCTATCTTTTTAGTAAAGCATACACTCAATGGATCGCATAATGGTATGATGCATGAGTGTGCTCCACGCAGGTGAACCGGCTGGACAACAACCTGTAGGACACATTCCTCCTGTGTTAATGCACCAAACATTGTGTTAGAAACACTTATATGCCTTACATGTTTGTTTAGATAACAGCTGTTTTAATTAATGACACTGCATTTTTGCATCTCGTTTAAATACATAATGAACAGCAGCTACACTGATTATTTTCTTTATTACTGAGGATACTAATTCCGAGGTCTCTAAAGACTATGCAGCACCATTGATGTGATCCAGGACCTGTGAGGAGATGATCCCAAGGTATCCATAATCCTGGACCAGGCATATTCCGAGCTGATGCTTTGGTGGTCATGGAGGAATACAGTGCTTAAAGTATGTACTACATTTGAAATTTAATTTACTACACGACTGTTACAAAATATATTCTATATAGTATGAATGTGGGTAGTATAAAGCATGCAATTTCGAAAGCAGCCATTGTCAGTACTTTTATCTGTTTTGTCAATGGAAAATAGTTAATTAAGAGAGCAATACTGTGTTGATTCTATCCTGAATGAATCTTTTTTTAAATGAATCAAGTAAGCCAATGATTCAATGATTGTTCAAGACAATCAACTTGCTTTAATTCAAAATGAGTGAGTCATTTTGCATTAACCATCTGAATGAAGGATTCAATGGATCACCTAGAGGACAGGGACTTTCCACCAGCTGCTAGCAGTTTTGATGTGAATCAAAATCATAACTGATACAATTAAACAAAATTAACAACAAATATGTAGAAGCTAGTTCTTGATGTGTACAAATCTTAAAGGGATCATTTTAGATGAATTAATCTGTGCGAGTAAAAATTATTTGCCTTGATTATTAAAAAATGTGCTCTCTTTTTAAATTAGCCTTCTTTTCTAATGAAGTCATTTTGATGGATGGTGCAGAAAACTCTGAATGTATCCTCTCAGATGCTAGATAGTGAAGAGGAGAAGAAAAAAATGGCATTCTGACCTCCATTCAAAGATCCAGATTCAGCTGGAAATACATCACAATACTGAAATCAAGTCAGCGTACAGTGTAAAAAATGATCTGTTCACTTAACTTAACTTAGTTAAGTCATCTTGTTGCATTGACCGAGGTAAGTTATACTGATGTAATTCTCCAAGTTAAGTTTTCTCCACTTAAAATGTTTAGTTGACAGAGTTAAATTGATCCAACTACTTATTTCAAGTTAACTGGACTTACAAAGTTTAGTTTTAATAGGTTAACTTACATTATCAATTTAGCAGAACTTGCCAAGTTTAGTTTAAATACATTAACTTATTTTTACAAGTTTACTGAACTTAATCTAGCAGATTTTCTTAAGTAGAAAAGGAAAAGAAAATGAAATGCATTTTCTTAAAAGGTATTTACTCCCAATTTTGCAGTTACACATAATGTACTTGCAATATAATTGTCTTAACAAAGTATTTTTTCTAATGAAGTAGTAATGTTTACAAAGTAATTGTAAAGTAAACTTAATCTCAAGAGAAGAAAAAAATAACTGTAAAACTCAAAAATTCACAACTCTAAAAAAAAAAACACAGGGTTGGATACCAGAACTTGAAAAATTATTATCAAATCTGATCTCAACATCTTTATTTCAATGTATTTTTATACTCTTTTTTATTTTTAAGTGTACTCTTTCACTGCAGAAATCTGCTCCAATGTTCATCAACAGTTTCTGATGCAGGAATCATCTCTCTGCTCTAGAAAGGTTTATACTGCGAACATTACACTGACAGTCGGGTCATTTTACAAGTTATAACACAAATTTGAAGAAGCATTACTTACCAAATGTAATGATTAAACAATTTAAAAAATCTGGTGAAAAATATTCCATGTGTCTGACTTCTTCTGTTGTTTAACTTGCTGTTGGCAAAATGGCTTAATGGTACATATTCTGTTATCTGCTGGATTGGAAGTATGGGACGCAACTTAAAGGATGCTGGTTCAGCAAATGTTTTTAAGTTGAGTCAACAAACACTCTATTAGTTAGGACAGCGAAAACTTACTAGGTTAAGTTGAATTATCATATTTTTGTTTCAATTCACACAATCATGTTGAGAAAACTAAAATGCAGAATATTTTTTTACAGTGTAGGAACTTTTTTTATGTTTTTATTGGCCGAAGAAACTAATAGCCCCACCCCAAAGAGACACAATCATAACAAAAGAAGTAGCTTATACACTTTTGAGGAAATTTGAGAAAATTTATTCTATAAAAGTACTTTGCACATAGTAGTATTAGTTCTATTCAAAACCATAATGTCCAATATATATATATATATATATATATATATATATATATATATATATATATATATATATATATATATATATATATTATTTTAATGCTGAAATGGTTCTTCTTTTTGTAAGGGTTCTACCTTAAAAATGACTCTCTTCACCTTCAAAACTTTTCGCAAAATTTTCTGTATATTCACCACAAAAGGCAGCCCATAAAGCCCAACAAGACTCTGAACTGCCAACATAAAGCTTTTAGTAATTATAGAAGCTGCCAGAATTTGGCTGCAGGCAGACTTAAACCACCGCAACACTATGTGTGGACCATTGGGTCTGAGCCAGAGCTGAAACCGAAGATCAATGAGTGTTTAACATCACACCTCATTCACTATATTACACATAAACATACTCCAGAGTATAGCAGGCCATTCTGCTCCTGCAAAGGAATCAATGAGAATATCTCAAATAGAAATTACTAATAACAAAGACAGATCGTTCTAAAAACCAAAATAAAACCTGAGCTCAATCAATCTGTAGTCCAATTCTACAGCATCGTTCCTATTTTTCTGGGAAGACGGTTATTCATATGACGTATGTACTGTAAATGAGACATCAGAGTATGATGAAACAGTGTACCACAACAACCTTCACAAAAACTGCAGATTTTTTTCTCTCTGTGCTCATACAAGTTTTATACAGAGCCCAAAACCTGAGGAAAATGTGAACTCAGAATACCTGAATGTTCTGCTTTCTAAGATTAAATCTAAATAATAATAAAAAAATCAATGCTTTGCAGGCATCTAGAAAAGGCAAGCGACTGGAACAGAAGGATTAATGTAAGTAATGGTATTGAGCACGTACACACACACACACACACGCACACGCGCACACACACCTTATGGGAAACAGCAGGTACTGGGTTCATACATCAGGTAAATGGGAAATATGGGACATGTAATCAGCTTGATGTACCAAACTGCTTTCTGGTAACATGATTGTGGCCCAAAATATGATCAGTAACAGTGCTAAAACACAATATGTATAAATTGCTTATAGTGCCAGGAATTTTAGCAGAAAGACTCTAATGCTACTGCAAAAAATATTGTAGAATTGCATGTAAAAAAATGACAATACAGGGAATATATCATATATAAAATCCTAAAAAAGCGAAGACATTTTTGAAAGGTATTTAAAAAGAAAATATGCAATTTTACTTCTAATATACTTCCAAAAAATGCATTTTTAAAAATGTAACATTTAAATATTATTGTTATGATTATGATTGTTAATATTATTATTATTAACAACAACATTAATAATAATATTAACAACAACAACAAAAACAACAACAACAATAATAATATTAACAACAACAACAACAAAATTATTATTATTATTATTAACAAGACAACAACAATTCTAAAATGGCTGTACTAAAATACTAAAAACAACAACATAATAATAATAATAATTATTATTATTATTATTTATATTATTATTATTATGTTGTTGTTGTTTTTGTTGTATAATAAAATATTAATAATGTTTATAAAAAATTACAATACAATCCTATGTGAATGCTGTTAAGTTTGTAAGCAAGTATGATTTAGAATATAAATTTTATTCATGTTAAAATATGTGATGATCCAAACTATACAGCAGCTGCTATTGACCCCCAATTGATGCAAGCTGCTTCATTAATGTCATATATACAGATTAAAAACAGCAAGTACAATGCAGAACACTGCCTCAGCCAATAGGAGGGAGTCGACAGCTTAACGGGAAGTTTCTGTCTGCAATAATAAGCAGATGGACTTTTTACATCATCATCTGAAACGTCGGAAAGACTAAGAGCAAATGACATCAAAAGAAGATTCTAAAAGGATTTCAGCCAAAATTTGGAAGCAATCAACATCAGAGTTCCAAGAAATCAAACAATGACAATTCCATGTACATTCCTTTAGGATGTATCTGACATGTTTTCTTCCTCAAGTATATACATGCTAACCTCTGCTTATATTTATATCCCAATCATAAAAATAAACCCCCCCCCCCCAACCAAAAAAAAAAAAAAAATAAAATAAATAAAAAGGAATTTCTGTAACAATATATTTCACCTCCAAAAAATGACACCGTTTCTATGTGCATTCCATTGGGATCTAAAAAAACCATGCATGCCGATTTCTTAAGATCCGGTGTATTTTTAAACCTCTGCTTACATTGATATTCCAACCACAAAGCGCACAAAAAAACCAAACATCTGCACTGGTGATGCGTAAAGGAGACATTCAGTCCTCCTCCGTATTAATAGTCTTTTTGCGCATGCAGCATATAGTTCGATTCAAACTACAAACACTATTACAAAGCAACAGAGATGTTTATACTGATCAGAATGAGGTTAAACCGTGAATCGTGAGTCGAACAGAGCCCCTTTGCGCACATACCTCTCACTTTGGTCAGCGTGAGCACCGGACTGTTACAGGCGGACAGCGGCGCGACCCGGGCCGAATGTTTCTTCATATTTGACGAGCTCGGACAGACGGAGCTCAAGCCGCATCGACTACATCGCTAAAAGCTGATTAGTGTCCGGACTGCTGTGGATGTGTGTAGCCCTGATCTCCCTCTGAGGATCCTCCTGCATGCTCCACGCGGGACAGCCAGTGCTGCAGCCCGTCTCTCTCTCTCTCTCTCTCTCCCTCTTTGCCCTATAGAGTTTGCACAGCTTGGGGATATGGAGATCTGCAGTGATGGGGATCCTGCCAGCTGCGTCGCTGTACCGCAACATGTTACCCGCCTGTGCCTTTGCTGATGGATATTATATCCGAAAAATAAAGATCATGAATGTTTCAAGTAGCCTATGAATGAAGTAATAGGAATGTCACTGAAAAGAGAACTAAAGTGAAGCTCAGAGGGAAGAATAAAACAAGGTTATCCCATAAATCTGTTTTATAATAATAATAATAATAATAATAATAATAATAATAATAATAATAATAATAATAATAATAATAATAGGGGCGAAGCAGTGGCGCAGTAGGTAGTGCTGACGCATCACAGCAAGAAGGTCGCTGGGTAAAGCCCCGGCTCAGTTTTCGTTTCTGTGTGGAGTTTGCATGTTCTCCCTGCGTTCGCGTGGGTTTCCTCCAGGTGCTCCGATCAACATTAGAATAACAAGCACAATTTGTTAACCCTTACATTGTAGGGAACATAACAGCTGCGTCAGAAAATTATATATCTACAAATAAAAAATAAATTTGGTAATGTTCTACTTCCATTACTATTACCATTAATAAAATCAAAACTATTATTAATAATTTAAATAAAGTAATAAATGACTAATGATAATATTTTAAACTATTCACATAGAAATAAGTTTGTTTTAATACTTTTTATATAGAAACACATTTTAATTAATAATTAACCATTTAAAATAAATGTATAATATTAATAATATAAAAATTATTATTATTGAATTCCAAATAATATATTCAAATGGTTAATAATATTAATAATAATGATAATATTGATACTAAAATAATAATAATAATAATAATAATAATAATAATAATAATAATAACAATAATAATATTAACAATTATTATTATAAAGTTTGTTATTATTACTATTATTATTATGCAACTATCTGTATCTGTCAAAAGAATTAACTTAATGTCAGTGGACCAAGAGTCCCTCTAAGGCAAGCCAGTTCATTTGGGTTCATCATCCAGGGGGCAGATAGTTCTGGTCATGTAAGGTCACATAAATATTGTGCCCATATTAAATGTAGAAACCACATAATATACACAAATGACAGGTTTTAAATGTATTAACTGAAGTAAAAAAAAATGTATAAAGAGGAAAAAGGAGGAGGAATATTTCTCCAAATATGTCCTTCATTATTGCCCAGAAAATAAATAATAATTATTATTAGTAAATTATCATTATCAGTTAATAATGATATAAAATAATAATATTATTATCTCATCTCATCTCATCTCATTTTCATCCACTTTTCCAGGGCCGGGTCGCGGAGGCAGCAGTCTTAGGAGAGAACCCTAGACTTTCCTCTCCCCAGACACTTCCTCCAGCTCCTCCTGGGGGATCCTGAGGCATTCCCAGGCCAGCTGAGAGACAAAGTCCCTCCAGCGTGTCCTATGTCTTCCCCGAGACATCCTCCCAATGGTACATGCCTGAAACACCTCCCTAGGTGTGTTTCCAGGAGGCATGCGAAACAGATGCCAGAGCCACCTCAGCTGACTTCTCTCGACGTAGAGGAGCAGTGGCTCTAATCCGAGCTCCTCCCGGGTGACAGAGCTCCTCAACCTATCTATAAGTGCACCCTGCCCACCCTGTGAAGGAAACTCGTCTTGGCCGCTTGAATCCGAGATCATGCTCATGACCATAGGTAAGAGTATACTGTAAAAAAAATGATGTCTGGCCACAATAAATATGGCTCATTAAAATAAACAGATTTCACTTAAAAAGTTTAGTTTTGGACATTGCTTAATTTTAAACTACAATTACTGCATAAAATGTTGATTTCACTGCTTACTTTATTTAATAATGAAAAACAACTAACATTTTTTTTTTGTAGAGTTAGCAATGATTTGAGGTTTCTTGACACCCAGTAATGTATATCATGTTATTATGTTATCTTTTTAGATTTTTTTTTTTTGGTGCCCATTGAATGTTTGACAAGCACAGTTTTGAACGCTACTTTAAAGAATACTCTTGAATTGTTTTTGAACAATTGTAATGTGTATTTATAAAGCGCATTTATTGTGTATGGCCATACACCCAAAGCGCTTCACAATCATGAGGGGGGTCTCTCCACACCACCACCAGTGTGCAGCATCTACTTGGATGATGCGACGACAGCCACAGGACAACGGCGCCAGGGTGCTCACCACACACCAGCTATAGGTGGAGTAGAGAGACATTGAT